CGGCTTCTTTGACCTCGCTTTCTTCCTCACGATCTTCACTTGGGCATCTCCCCCGGAGACTGTGGCTGTTTCAAGATCCTGCAACCCCTTTTGGATCTCGTCTTCGACCTCACTGTCGGTGTCCTTTTTCTTGGTTACTGCATATGTGCAGGTCGTCTTACCCGTACTGCAGGTGAAGCAGGATCCTTGTTGTGGGGGGGAACGGATAGCGCATGGAACAATGTCTCGATCTTGGCGTTTGCTGCAGGCCTCACAGGGGATATCCGCAAGCTGATAATTGCCTTTCGCAATCGCGGCATTCTGATTTGCAAGACGTTCGGCAGTTTTGGCTTGCCTTAAAGCGGCCATGGCGGTCTTGGGAGGACCGGCGTCGGGGTCTAACTTGGGCCTTCGGATGAGACTGAAGCCGGCACTGGGTGTCATGCAGGAGAAATGGGGCTGGGACTTGGGTTTAACCGCCTTTGCTTCCCCACCAACCGGTCGAAGTGACTCCGACTTCGGCTTCAATGTTTCCTCATCACTGCTGCTGTTGATGAACTCCGCACTCACGACTCTGGTCTTCTTTGGCCTGGCTTCGATCGAGTCCCCTTTTCTTTTTTTGCTTTGGACTGGGGCAGCGGTGTCGTTAGGAGTCACCTCTGATTGTGGCTGGGCGCTGGACCCGGCCTCGGGTTTCCTTCACCCAGACTTCGTCTTACTCTTGGTCTTCGTTTCAGCTGCTGGCACAGGATCGGTTGATTTTGCCCGACGCGTTGGTTTTGTTGGGGCCGGGAGCGATGATGAAGCTGTCGGTACCGGCAATGGGGGAGTTGGGACTGTGACTGGGAGCAATGAATCGGTCGAAGATGGAGGTAAAGGGGGAGAGGGACCGGCATAACCTTCCATAAAGAAGGTAGGGGTGGTGGGTTGTGGGATCGAGAACATTTTGGTCCAATCAACCGATGGTCCCGCTCGGGCCATTTCCGTGTACGCCAAAATCCAAGGGTGGTTGAGCCACTGGGCCGCGTTATACCACATATTCTTGTCGATGAGCAAACGTACAAATCATTCCTGTAGGAGAAAGAGATCCAATTTCAGTCAACAAATCATTGTTAGTTACTCACAGCTTTCCCGTATGCATCCTCTTCCACCGTCCGTTGGTGGGCCAGAAGACCTTCCCTGTGACGGTTGTAAAAGTTCAAAAGCGTGGAGGTGGCCACCCTAACATCCTCCAAGAACCCGGGAGTGAGGGTATGGGCCTGTTGAGCGGCTTGAGCAAGTTCAGCAGTGGACATGGTAAGTGGGAATGGGACGATCGAGGGTGGTGAATGTGCGCATCGGAATGGGACAATGGTGAATGTGAAATTACGAAGTTGTAAACACGGTCACGTGGTGGCGTTACTTCAACTGAGATCCGTACAATGTTCAACCGAGATCCGCAGAATGTTCCATGGCCGATCTGCAGTGGCTTGCTTTCCCACTGTTGAAAAACAATGCGTCTTCATCACCAACCACACAGTGCAATCCCAGGAAAAGCTATCTACTCTCTGACTGATATGTCTTTAACAAATCCAGGTATTGTCCCTACTCCACACCAAGGATTGTCTACTTAATGTAGATAAACAGAAGCTGTGATGAAAGACCAAGAAATGAAGGATGGTAAGTTTTATGTACTCTTGTCGGCTGAGCAGTTCTAACCATATCTTAGGAACGGCCGAGGCTCTACCCCCTCTTCAACCAAGTGGTGAGTTCCAGTCAGTGACAG